CCTGAAGGCAGGACAAGAAGCAACGGATGGAAACTAACCAAGGAGAGAAGCAACCTGGAACTGAGGAGAAACTTCCTGACAGAACAATTAACCGGTGGAATGGCTTGTCTCCAGAAGTTATGGGTGCTCCAACACTGGAAGTTTTTAAGAAGAGACTGGACAGTCACTTGTCTGAAATGGTATAGGGTTTCCTGCCTGAGCAGTGGATTAGTCTCCAAGGTCCCTTCCAACTCTGTTATTCTGTTCTGTTCTGTTCTGTTCAATAAAATGGGAGAGGGGGAAGGATTTCCAGCAAGGAGGCAAAGCCAGGCCCGGCCAAATGTTGCCCATTGTCTCCGGCCGGGAAGCCTTTTGGATGAGTTGTCTTTCAAGGTTGCCCAGCAGCGGGGTCAACAAAGGGATGTTGCAATGCCAACCAGGCGGCATGGACGCTGGTCCCTTAGCCACGACCTCCACGAAGCCATGACCTCCATAGTCCTCTCCCAAATCATCCATGACCTAAGTAGGAATGGGGGTCCCACCCCCAATTTGGTGTTCTTGTTGGAGCAGTGCCTTTGTAGTTGGGATTGGTGGACCTATCTTTGATCTCCTTGTCATGGTCTGCTGGCTTCTCTAGGGCCGCATCCCTTCACAGGAAGGAGGGACCTATCAGATCAGTCCACCCTCAGAGACTGTTGGACGCTGAGGTTATAATATCTGCTATGTAGTCCTGCTGAGACCCTAGTTGATGACTGGAATAGTAAGCAAATGTGACCTGAGGCAAACGTGAATGTTGGATTCATTAAACGATTGCAACAGTTATAGAATCCTAGGGCTGGAAGAGACCTTGGAGGTCTTGCTCAAGCAGAAGACCCTACATCATTCTGGACACCTGGCTGTCCAGTGATGGAGCACCCACAACTTCTGGAGGCAACTCATTCCACTGGGTAATTGTCCCCATTGTCGGAAAATTTCTCCTTAATTCCAGGCTGGAGCTCTCTCTGACTAGCCTCACCCATTTCTTCTTCTTGTGGCCTTGAAATTCCATCCCCTCCCCAAGACAAAGAGCTCCTCCATCTACTGGTTTCTCATTTCCCCCCTTCCCCCCAAGGCTTGTGACAGAAGCATCCTATCTTACAGATTTCCATTTGTTGTGACTCAGGGTTGAGGCTCTCTTGCCTTGCAGGCCCAGCAGCTGATCGCCATCTGCCGGGAGTACATCGTGGGGCTGTCCATGGAGCTGGAGAGGAAGAAACTGCCCAAGGATACTCTGGAGGAACAGAAGCGCATTTGTGAGGTTGGTGTGGGCATGAGTGTCCAACCTGGGCAACTTGAAGAACTGTGGATTTCAATTCCCAGAATTTCCCAGCCAGCAGAGTTCGCTGGGAAATTCTGTGAGTTGAAACCCTCAAGTCTTAAAGTTTCCATGGTTGAAAAACACTGATCCACATACATGTCGAAGAAGAGCAAGCAGAGCTGGTAGTGGAGTTAAGAGAGTCATCAGCCTAGAATCGTTGTATTCCCACAAATGGTCTAAGTCCAACGCTCTTGTATTCTGTTGACCCTTCTCTGGCATCGAGTGTTGCATCTTAGATGACTAGATCCTGGTGTAGAAGCTCAGGCAATAAATCTTTTGAACCGCAACCTCACAGATGGTCCTGATCCTTTGCACCCGACAGTTGGTCGGCTCTTGGTGGGACCAACGCGGGATTCAGGCTAAGAAGTGACAGCCTGGTGCTGCACTGACCCCTGGCGAGTGTCTGGGATGGCGGCAGCATTCTTTGCCTTCTGTGGGAGGGGTCGGGTCTCCAGCTGCTTTGGGGGATTCTGGGGCTGTTGGACCCCTCTAACTGGCCAAAACCGTGGAAGCGCAGACCCTGCGGTGACCTGGAGCCTCTGTGTCTGAGACCCCGTCCCCTTTCCTGCAAGCAGCCCCCCTTTCTGAATGCACACTGTCCCCTGCAGATGGCCGCCTACTTCACCCACGCCAGCCTGCAGCCCGTCCACATGATCCTGGTCCTGCGAACGGCCCTCAACCTCTTCTTCAAGCTCAAGAACTTCAAGACGGCCGCCACCTTCGCCCGCCGTCTCTTGGAGCTCGGCCCCAAGCCCGAAGTGGCGCAGCAGGTGGGTGCCCCGTGGGAAGGGGGCATCAAGGAGAGGCTGGCGGGGGTCTCCAGAGGGAAGCAGGAAGTCTCTTGGGGGCTTTTCTTTCGACTCTCGGGAGGGACTTGAGTGGGAGGCCTGGAAGGGTGGCGCTTACGTGACAGCGGACAATCTGCTGTTCTTCAGTGGAGAGATTGCTAAGCTAAAACAGGAAGAGGGATTCACAGTCTCCCCACCACGTTCTGGTGGATCAAAGCCAGCTTTTTCTGAAAGTGCATTAAGGCCTTAAAAGGATAGGTAAAGAAAGGCCTTGTTTTATTGGGTGTTTTTTATGTCTCCTAGACATTTCTGTGACGTAGGTGGCCGTAGGAATTAGATGACTGACAGAAAGACAGAGGAGGAGATAGACAGAGATATAAGAAAATAGAAACAAACAGAAATAGAGAGACATAGATGCATGGATGGATGGATAGATAGGTTGATGGATGGATTAGATAGATAGACAGACAGACATGATAGATAGACATGATGGATGGATAGAGACAGACAGAAGGAAGGAAGGTAGGAAGGGAAGGAAGGAAAGAAACAAAGAAAAAGAAAGAAAGAATTATCTACAAAAGGGGTTCTTCCAGGCAATATGGGGTAGCCCAGAGTTTCGGGTACCCTTCTCAGTCCCCCCCCCGGGTGGATCCTGTCAATCCTGTGCAACACCAGGCTGGGACCCCCCATGCTGGTGGGAGCCACACTGGGTGGCGAATGAGCGCCAGGAGCAAAGGGGCGCAGAGTGGCCGTTTCAGGGCCCCCCTTTCACCTCCTGCCCTCTCGCTGTTCTGGCTCTTCCAGACCCGCAAAATCCTGTCCGCCTGCGAGAAGAACCCCAGCGACGCTCACCAGCTCAACTACGACATGCACAACCCGTTCGACATCTGCGCTGCCTCCTTCCGGCCCATTTACCGGGGCAAACCGGTGGAGAAGTGCCCGCTCAGCGGGGCCTGCTATTCGCCCGAGTTCCGCGGCCAGATCTGCAGGGTCACAACTGTAAGTGGAGGCTTTTCTTTCTGGACACGTCCCTCAAGGCAGGGCTTCTCAACCTGGGTGACTTTCAGGCGGGTGGACTTCAACTCCCAGAATTCCCCTCCCGGCATGATTTATGATCCAAGAACTTCAACTCCCAGAATTCCTCAAATCAGCATGATTTATGTATCTCTGCAAGCTGTCCGGAGTCAGCGAGGGTGTATTGGACGGCCATATAAATTTTCTTAAATAAATGAACTAACTCCCAGAATTCCCCAGCCACCATGCCTAAGGGTCGAGCGCCAGCCAGCCCTGCCTTCAATTGAGAGACGCTGCACTTAAAGCATCATCTGGCTTAATACCAGCATGCAAGTCATCCCTTGTGGCCTGTACTGCAAACCACAAGGGAAAGTAGTGTAACACCGCCCACTGGGTGGTCTAAATGACCTCTGAGTAACTCTCCCCTCGAGACTTGAACTTGCAGACAAAATCTGATCTTTTCAAAAAATTGCCAGCTTCCCTACCTGTAATAACCTTTCACTGTTTGAGCCCTTCTGTCTACACCCCCCTCCCCTCCCCCGGGTAGAGATCTTGGCTGAACCATTTTGGCATCACACCTGGCTAGAACCACAGAATAACTTCAGAAAGACACAATTGTGTTAAATCACAACTGGCAGTCTTCTCCATCACACCAAGCTAAAACCAACGCATGATCTCGCTTGGGAGTGAACTACATCAATAGCATCCGTATGAGTTGAGGTGGCACAGTGGTTAGAATGCAGTACTGCAGGCGAATTCTGCTGACTCCCAGCTGCCAGCAGTTCGAATCTCACCAGCTCAAGGTTGACTCCGCCTTATATCCTTCTGAGGTCGGTAAAATGAGGACCCAGATTGTTGGGGGCAACAGGCTGTGAACCGCTTAGAGAGGGCTGTAAAGCACTGTGAAGTGGTATATAAGTCTAAGTGCTATTGCTATCCTTCCTTCCTATGGTGGTACAGTGGTTAGAATGCAGTATTGCTGACTCTGCCCGCTGCCAGCAGTTTGATCCTTACTGATTCCAGGTCGACTCAGCCTTCCATCCTTCTGAGGTTGTAAAATGAGGACCCAGATTGTTGGGGGCAAGAGGCTGACCCTGTGAACCGCTTAGCGAGGGCTGTGAAAGCAGTGAAGCGGGATATAAGTCTAAGTGCTGCTGCTATTGTAGGGAGGCTACCCCTAACAAGATCTACCCCCAGCGTTACGTGCCATCGGAGTTCAGAGAACACGAGGAGGTGCAAAATCTATAAAGGGAGGTTATTGTTTAATTGGGGGACCACTAATTATGCCTCCTTTGGATGCAGGTGACGGAGATCGGCAAAGATGTCATCGGCTTGAGGATCAGCCCTCTGCAGTTCCGCTGAGGTGGCCTGGTCTGGCACCCCACCCTCGTTTCCAGTGGAACCCCCCCCCCAAGTCTTTGCTTTTCCTATCATCTCCTGTAGCATTTCAGGTGGTATCCAGTATTTTCTGGGAGATCAAAATATTGAGCCTGTTCCATCATTTTCCAGTTTGGCAGCTTTTCAATCTTGACAACTTGAAGATGGGTGGACTTCAACGCCCAGAACTCCCTAGCCAGCTCTGGGTTGGCTGGGGGATTCTGGGCGTTGAAGTCCACCCATCTTCAAGTTGTCAAGATTGAGAAACAGCGATTTACATGTCTGCTGGGCTTAAGGCTGGAAGAAACTCCCCGGGGAAGGTCTACAAAGAGACAGAAAATTTGGGGGGGGGGTGTCTTGTTTCGTATGCTGAACGGGCCTCAAACCCCTCTGCTCCTCCATCTTTGTTATTTTTTGTCCTCCCACACCCGTTCTGCTTCTTTTTACGTTCTCTGACTCAATAAAGAGAAACTCAATAAAGAGAAAACAGTTAAGGAAAAAGAGTGTATTGGTCTGCTTCAGAGTGGTTCCATCAGCGTGAAAAGCTGCAGATCTGGACAAAATGGGAGAAAAGAGCCAGTTTTTCCCCCCAATTGACCCCCCCTTTCCCCCAATGAGGTAATGTGGACCATTCCTTCAGGGTTTGACCCCAGGATTCCTCCAGAAGCCGAGGATGATGGGATTTTTCCTGGTGGGGTAGCCTAGCTGGAAGGGAGCGCCTCCATTTCACTGGTGAATGTGCATGATGGGAGAGTGGAGATTTTAGCGGAGGAATCCCCCGACCTAATTCAACACCGTCACCATGTTGATGCTTCCCGTGTGGAGGTAGACAACATCAAAAGAAGCAGAGTTGGTGGTGTTAGTGGTCTCAAGGCACAAAATCAAGTTGGCTGTGTGTTTGCCAATAAAGTGGGCCATGTTGCTGCAACACATTAATCAGTTCATTCGACATACAAAACCTTAAATTGCAAGATTGTCCTTCCCGTGTAGCCCTCGTGTGTTGTGAACTTGTTTGTGGGAACCCTCTATTCGGTAGTGACCTTCAGGAGAACGTGACTGGGTTGGGAATGGGAATGAGGAAAGCTGTAGCTGTAGCAAATTCCAGAGGTGCTCCAGTTGTGACCTTTCCAGACGTCATTCTGGGTAACCCAAGAGAGAGACTTTCAATAGTCCAGGCTCTTGTCAAAGCATGGAAGTCGGGGCCCTCTGCTACCTGGGTAGGAGGTGGCAGACTGTCCGAACGGGAGGACCCATCGTGGTGCCTCCTTCCTTCGTCCTCAAGGAGACTGGTCATCAGGGGTGGGTGCTGTCTTGTCAGCCTGGGGGTTGTCCTCCTGGAGGGGCTGGTAGGGGGCTTTGCGGATGCATTCCACGAAGAGCAGGAAGGACATCAAGAACCAGAACAGGAAGTTCACCCAAGCCGTTGCCTGAAGGCAGAGAAAAGAAAAAAGAGTTGGAGGAGATTGGAAGAGACCTTGCAGCTCAACCACTCCAACTGAAGGCCTCCAGTTCAGTTAGTGCCCCTGAAGGTGAGGGAGTCCTGGTGGATCTGCTCCATCCCAGGCCTCGGGCTTTGGACGACTTCCATCCAGTCTCCTAAAAGGAGGAGGAGGTTCTTGAGAGGATGGTGGGCTCCCAGCTGTGGGGGGTCCTGGATGAGGCAGGTCATCCAAACTCTTTTCAGACAGGAATATCGGCTAGGCCAGGGGTTCCCAACCGGGAGTGGGAGATGATATTCCAGGGGTTTTCAAAATTATAGCGTAGATGCATAATTCGTTGCCGTTATTTCGAACTTTTGTATGGGGTACAAGAATATATCAGAAGTGTTCTAGGGTGCGGGGTATAGAAAAGGGCTAGGCAATACAGGTAGTCCTTGACTTACGACCACAATTGAGCCCCAAATTTATGTTACTAAGTGAGACAGTTAAGTGAGTTTTGTCCCATTTTTGTCACCTTTCTTGCCACAGTTGTTAAATGAATCACAGCAGTTGTTAAGTCACATGGTTGTTAAGTGAATCTACCTTCCCCACTGATTTTACTCGTCAGACAGTCGCAAGAGGATCACGTGACCCTAGGGATTGTGCGATGGTCATAAATATGACATCCAAGCGCCTGAATTTTGATCACGTGACCACTGGGGTCACTCTTTTCCGTGCCGCTGTAACTCGGAACGGTCAGTAAACGAACGGTTGTAAGTCAAGGACTACCTGTACTACTCAGTCAGCAATGATCGCACTTCTAGACAAAGACTGAGGGACGATTCATATGCTGCCCACCTGGTCAAGTGACCGGGCAGCTTACAAACATTAAAAAGCAAAAGAGACAAAACATTAAAATACCAAATAAACGAAATAAATTAAAAAAACAGGACAATTAATTCTCAACTTACAACCACAATTGAGCCCAACATTTCTGTTGCTGGGTGAGTTTTGCCCCATTTTATGACCTTCCTTGCCACAGTTGTTAAGTGAATCACTGCGGCTGTTAAGCTAGAAACACAGTGAAGTGAATCTGGCCTCCCCGTTGACTTCCCTTGTCAGAAGGTCCCAGAAGGAGACCACGTGACCCTCTGGGTCACTGCGACCGTCGTAAGTACCTGTCAGTTGCTAAGTATCCAAACTTTGATCAGGTGACCTGGGGATGCTACCTGTCAGCCTTCCAGAGGCCCTGAAAACCCGCCTCTTCCCCACACCTTGGGCTGAGGATGGGGGCCCCAGCATGGCTGGTCTGGCACACGGTGGGCAGGCTATGGTCTGTTTTATGTTCTTTTTGCTGCTGCTGTTGTGAGCTGCCTGGGATTACTGGGCGAGATGGGCAGCCTTTCCAGTTTTCAAAAAAATAAGGTGGCGTTCTTCAGGCGAGACCTCCGTGCCCTGCTGTGTGGAGGAGCCAAGGGCTGGGCAAGGGGAGGCAGTTAAGAAAGCCGCTCACCTGGGCAGCGTAGAGGTTGTCGTAGAACTTTCCAGCCTGATAAGACGGGACCCAGGAACGGCGCTGAGCCTCTTGGCAGCTGCAGGGAAGGGAATAAGCGGTTTGCAAGGTACAGGTAAGAACCGGCCCTCAAGGTAACTATTGAAATACTGCCGCTATTACTACTCTGACTCTCCAAATCACCTGAGGGCAGGGCCAGACGTAATGGTAGAGGATGATTAAAGAGAGAAGCAACCTGGAACTAAGGAGAAACTTCCTGACAGTGAGAACAATCAACCAGTGGGACAGAAGTTGCCTTCAGACATTGTGGGTGCTTCGTCACTGGAGGCTTTTAAGAAGAGGCTGGACAGCCATTTGTCTGCAATGGCATAAGGTCTCCTGCCTTGACTAGGGGGCTGGATTAGAAGACCTCCAAGGTCCCTTCCAGCCCTAGGATTCTATGCTGTATAGCTAATGCCCTGTGCATAGAAGTATGAAGGTTACAGAATACAGAATAACAGAGTTGGAAGGGACCTTTAGGCGCTGTCAGAGGAGGTCAACCTATTCTCCAAAGCACCTGAAGGCAGGACAAGAACCAACAGATGGAAACTAGTCAAGGAGAGAAACAACCTGGAACTAAGGAGAAACTTCCTGACAGTGAGAACAATCAATTGGTGGAAGTAGCTTCCCTCCAGAGGTTGTGGGGGCTCCAACACTGGAGGTTTTGAAAAGAAGAGACTGAACAGCCATTTGTCTGGAATGGTATAGGATCTCCTGCTTGAGCAGGAGGTTGGACTAGAAGACCTTCAAGGTCCCTTCCAACGCTGTTATTCTATTACTACTAGTACTGCTACTGCTGCACTATTTGATTACTGTGTCATCACTGCACTCTCGCAACACAGGTAACCAGGTCAGCTAAAGGCCTACCAGGACCATTTCCACAACAGGCAAAGCTCAGTTAGCTGTTCTGGCAGTTTAGCAGGTGGGGCAAGTCCAACCTATTTGCTTGCTTAATGTGTGAAAAGGGTTTGTTCCCTAATCAGGTTAACATGCTGTGCGGAGGCAGCCAAAGAAACTCTTGCTTCTGGTTTCGCCCCTCCTTGGCCCGGGTCCTTGCCTTGCTGCAGCTTTGGACTTCCGAATGGAGCCGCAGAAGACATCCATGCCAACGCGGAGAACGCAGGCGGAGACGAGAAGGAAGAAGAGGAGGGTGGCTGAGACCACCAAGGAGGTCTTGATCCAGGGGTGGGTCCTGTGGGAGAGCAGGAGAAGCCGCATCAGGACCAGGATGCCCCCCTGGCGCCAGTGGTCCCCTCCCCCCTCCTGGACCCTCACTCACAAGTGTCCGTCACCGTAACACATGCTGTAGATGCAGCGGAGCAGGGCGACCAGGGTGAAGATGGCCGTCAGCGCAGAGATGGCGGAGATGAAGTAGCAGAGCGAGGGAGGGCTGGAACTCAGGAGGCTCAGCGTCCCGTTGTAGCGCACTGACCCGTACAGAATGCACTGGCCGCCAAAGGCCCCCTGAGAAAGAGGGGTGACTGGTCTGCTGGCCAAAAACAGTGAGACGACCTTCCCTGCCCTGGTGCTGAGCACCTGTCGCTGTGGAGGATGGGAATCCACCCCCCAACACCAGGTTGAAGGGTGCAATGGGGAATGGCTGGAGGTGGTTGCTCCATAGATTTTTTTTTTCTTTTTCCTATTTTTTGCCCTGCCTTATTTTTTTTTATTAATAACTCAAAGTAGTGAGCATATCCACCAGACCTTCCTCCTTCTATTTTCCCCATCACAACAACCCTGTGAGGTGGGCTGAGAGGGAGGGAGAGCTGGCCCAAAGTCACCCGGCCGGCTTTCCTGCCTATGGTGGGACTAGAACTCACAGCCTCCTGGTGATGGAGGCAAAGTTGCCCAGCCGGCTTTCAAGGCCAAAGCGGCCCCAGAACTCATCATCTCCTGGGGACTGGCTCCAAATCACCCAGCCAGCTTCATGGCTAAGGCAGGACTCGAACTCCCTGCCTCAGAGCTTAGCTGGCTGAGGAATTCCGGGAGTTGAAGGCCACAAGTCCCAAAGTTGCCAAGGTTGGAGAGCCCTGCTCCAGTCTAGGCAAAAGAAATCCTGGATTTTGAACCACGCTTACATAAGGCAACCTTATATTTTCTCCACACTTGAACCCAGAGCCGCTGCCTGTCTCCCCCCCCCCC